TGTAGTTAAGTGTATGGTGTAGATGTCCGTCATGACTGTAGGGTAACTAGGTATCTCACGATTGCACAAGCTCCTCTGTTTCTCGAGATACTGGACGCAGCAAACGAGTTGCGTACAAGAGTGATCTTCTTGCAGCGCAAGGAGACTTTCCTTGCATATCATGTGTCGAGTCTTGCCACTCAACATTAACCTAGAACATGAGACATTCAGTTTTCCAAGTTGGAATCTCCGCATCGCGCACGCTGACATTTTCAGTGTCAAGAATTCATCTTTTGCATATCTGTCACGAAAGGCGGGATCTGGGACAGTGAAGGTAACCTTGCGATTATTTGGACATCAAGCTGTATTCATAGTACGAAACCCATGCTGAGGGGGCTATACAAGGTAGTGAAGAGTATATATTACATAATATCTGTACAACATGCTGATACAAGATGTAGTGAGCATCTCCAAGGCCCAGCTTCGTATTGAGTCAAAGATCCAAACATCCGAGGCAGGGAAGAGATGCATACCTCACAATCAACCACTGCATCCCATTAGATAAAAAAAATATCGCTGGCCTCTATACCGGCCTGCGACGAGAGTGTATCTCGCTACTTGACGTCCAGATCCAGGCCGTCAACGGCTTAGAAAGACCCGACCAAGGGCCAAAAGGGGCCTCTCTTTCTTTTTCAGTCTGGAATAAAGTCAAAAAGATAGTTTTCCGACACCGGGAATCGAACCCGGGCCTTGCCGGCACTGTACAGTGAACTGACTCTGCAGATGAGAGCGGCAAATCCTAGCCACTAGACCATATCGGATTTTGATGGAAAGAATGGATCTAAAGCTATTATTATACCAAGAAACAAAGAAGGACTGGCATGATAACGAAATACGATCTGGGCATTGAAAATTTTCTATGAAAATATGGGTATGAAAGAATCAGAAAACCAAATGGCCGAAGCCTCGCTACTAGTACTGCGCATCTAGCTCCACATATCCAATCAGTGGAACCAATATCTACTTGTTCAAGACGTCGCCCAACGATACCCCAACGTCCACGGACAACTTGAGTCCAAAGCTATCAATCTTGAATATGTTAATGGTGTCCACGAAAGTGCTGTTGTTGTCCACATTGCTCGCCAAGTCTACCCCGTCGCGCGTGATCATTTCTGTGCTACCCACAGTATTTACATTGTAGAGACTGATGTCATACGTGTTGCGGTCCCCTTCGATCGACAGGATGCGCGACTGGCACACCGCACCTGCGCCAACCTGCGAGCAGTCTGTCGAGTAGTTGTCGAAGAAAGAGTACAGTCCCACTCCGTATCCGAGGATGTTATTGCTGCGGAGAATACGTAGACCCCAGCCTGAAGCTGTGTTTGGCGATGTTGAGTTTGTTCCGTTCGAAGGCGTAGCCGTGAAGACTGGGTCGGACAAGGCTGGAACGGTTGAGAAGGGAATGAGAGCATCAGGGTTGGGCTGATAGTAGGCAGTTTCGGTTTGAATCTGACCCATGAAGACGTTTCGTGTGTCGACGAACTGGTACTCGTAGAGAACGTGGTGCTCGACTGCTGTGCCGTATCTACCTGAGTGTTAGTTACTGCTAACTAAACAACGACGATTTCCAAACTTACAACCATAAAGTTCCCTGAAGACTCTCAATCAGCAGACCGCGGCCGGCATAGATAGTGATCTGAGTGTTGTTGTTACGCGCATCATCGAGATCGTGGTCAGCAGTCCAGAGCCAGTTGTTCTCCATATACAGCCCTGAACTGTACTTGGTGACGTGCATCGACATGTAAGCTGCAATGCATTCTTCGACCAAATTTTCGGAAGTGGTGACGAGATCGGGTGTCTTCTCGCATTGCTCGGTTTGCAGGTCTGATCCTGCGAATCCTCCAATACGAGTGTGCACATCCCAAAGGCCAGCAGGTTCGCCAGTAGGGGAATAAAGGTTGTATTCAATCAGAACAGCGCCGGCTTGTTGACCTTTTGTGCTGACAAAGAGGTCAGAAAGTTCGACTCGACCTTGTTCTCCTGGCTGAGCAATTTGCACGACTGGCTTAGGAAGGGACATGTCGTTGAAGAAGGGACCGGAGGAAAGGATGACAGAAGCGAGGGCTTCTCCGACGATAGTGGAACCTGGTGGGACGTAGATCGTCGAGGTGACTAGATAGAAACCGGCGTCAAGGAAAAGAATCTTGCCTTCAGCCTTGGCTTTCACGATTGCAGCGTTGAGGGCATCAGTGTCGTCGGTTCGGCCATCTCCAGTAACGCCAAGGCTACGAGCGCTAAGGAATTGTGATAGAGGAACCTCGCCATACTGAGGCTTCGAGCGCTCGTAGTATTTGCCTTCCGCGTCCAACAACTCTGCTGGTCGCTTAGTGGAAGCGATAGCGCCTCGTGCTTCGACCGGACCGTTCGGAAGGTATCGATGTCCGTCAGCCCAAGCGTCAATGACCGAAGTACCAGGAGATCCTGCCAGATAGGTTCCATTTGGACCAAGTACAGCAGTACCGACATTATCGAGTTTGACATTCTCCAAGTACAAGGCTGCGGCACCAGCAGGCTCAGAGTTGGCAGTCCTAGAGGTAACGATACCAATCGGGGTATTGTTGATCTCACTGTCAAAGAAGGTAATAGATCCCACGTTAACCGCGGCAGGGCCACCGGCAGACATGTTCAGTCCAACCCGGCAGTTGTTAATAGAGACAGACTTGTACGTCCATCCCCAATCCCAGAGCTGCTCAATGGCAGTGTTGACATTGTTGAACGTGAGGTTTCGAGTAGTGAACTGTTGGTTGCCGACACTGAACCCTTTGTTTCCTCCGTTGAAAACAAGGTCGGTCATAAAACCGCCAGATCCTTCCTCAACGAAGAGTCCCTGGTGCAGTGTTCCGTTGTCGGCGTTCATGTTAAACACTACATTCTGGATGCTTGTAGTTTGTGCAGTTGGCCAATGAATTCCAGTAGCTGAAAAGTTAGCTGGGAGGTGTGTCATGTCAAGGATAAGGTTGCGAATCTGGCGGAAGAATGTATTTGTAGGTCCAAAGCCAGTTCGACCAGGTCGGGTTCCAGTGCCTAGGTATGGAGAGCCATCGATTAATCCTAGACCGCCTGTGGAAGAAAAATTGGCTGCAGCCTTCATCGTAGGAAGACAATTTGGGTTTCCGATGATCTTGCAGGAGTTAGTCAAAGTAACTCATACGGAGAGGCTTATCGTTTCGAGTTATGCCTGATACGTAACGTCTTTGCGAGAGGTATACACGTCATGTCACATCCACTTGCTAACGAGTGATGGGATGGTGTATGTCTCTAGAACACGTTTGTGTATCTAGCTATTCGGACTCTGCGGGCTGCATACCTGAGTGTAGTAATAGTCGATGAGACTGCTCGAGATCAAGTAAGTCCCGCCAGGAAAGTATACAATGGCAGGCTCATTAGTAGAGCTCTCGCAGGACGACGGGGCACATCTGCTTCCCTCTGTAATCGCTTTCTGAATGGCGGCAGTATCATCGGTGATTCCGTCGCCGACAGCGCCATAAGACTTGACATTCCTGAACACTGTGTAATTGTTTGGGTTCGGATTGAAGCTAGCAACGCCCTGGTGCTTTATGTCCTCTAGCCAGTATGGGGCGCACGACGAATCTTGATTTGCAGATTGACGAGGCTGAGCATGTGGGTGAGCGTGGCGGCTCGCAAAGCGTAAGTTGGATGATTCGTGGACATAACCGTTGGTGGAACGAGCGGACAGCGCGAGTGCGCAAGTGGAATACAACCCTAACACGAGGGAAGTTGTAGGAACCAACATCTTAGTCAAATAAGAAAACAGCAAGAATAACGAGCGACAGGAAGGTAGACAGAGTAAGTCGACAAACGACTAGCCTTACGGTACACCACATATTAATATATCAAGGCGAGAGCTGACTCCCTGTAATGGCTGTCATAGGGCCGATCGACAGTGAACTACGCGGCGGCGATCAGTCATGCCTACTTGCTTGGCTGATTGGACACGCAAGCCGTGCTGCAGTGTGGTGCACTTCAGCTCGGACTTGGACCGCGGTGCATGTGGCGTACATGTTGACGGCATACTTATGGGGGCTGAAACACTTGGTTTAACGGTTCGCGAAGCCTCATTACAGGGCCAGCCAGCCCTATGTTAACTCTGGTAGTGAAAGCATAGGCTGTCCAGGCGCCTTGGAGCCATCGCTTTATGTAGTGTGACTATGCACAAGAGCTGATGATGTTACCACGCGCTGCAGATGACATGCATGCAAGTGGACTTTTCAATTGTCTCCTGTGTCAGCCCCACTACGAACTCAATACCACCTCATCCCCAAATATTGAGATGCGGATCGACTGTCTCAACACGTGCTTGCAGCTTGCTCCGCGGCAGTGTGGCGCCACGACGCTATGACAACCATGAATATGGTTCCGTGCCCTATGTAGGTTCGAGACAGGGGTACTTGTTTAGTGATCTGTGAAATGAGATGGTCTTGGGCTAGGTATCCAAGGGGTGGCATACTGTACAAAGGCACGTTAAGTCGAGTAAGCTTGGCTTGCTAGTTAGAATGATGCATCTGCTTCAAATCACCGAGACACTCTTAGGGCCGAAAAGTTCGAGACGGAGTGAGAGATGCGCAAGTCACTCCGATTCCACCAGGTGTCTCTGATAGACAATAAGAACGGCATGTCCGGATGTTGGAAAGATGCCCGGGTTCTGTCGGGCAGACTGCGTAAATGAGGGTATCAGCGTCGTGCAACGATATAGAAAAAAAAGATAGGAAGAAATTGCTCCTTTCATGCTGACGGAGGAGAGGGACGCATAACAAACAATCTGGGAAGGCACGCGCGGGCACGTGACCGATCTCATCGGAAACATCGCAGCCCAAACTCCGACAATCCAAACTTTTGCGTATCGAAGTGCAGTGTGAACGTCATCTTTGAGAAACCCATCTTGCACACCACTACAACCCTTCTTGCGATTCACCGCACAGATCATACAAGACATAACGAAAATGTTTGGAGGTTGGTTCTAACAATTATGACGGAAGAGTCACAGATAATGATACTAACGTGCATGACAGCACCACCCCAACCATCCAAGCAGGAGCTTGCTGCGGCCGAAGCACAGACTATGACCGATATCAAGTGGACAGCAGCCAGCGCTGTTGTGCTTTATTTCTGTAAGAGCAACCAGAGACTGGGCAGTATACAGATGGAAGACTAACAGGTTGCCTGTAGCACCTCATCTCGTCGAATACGTCTCGAAGCTCTTCTGAGCAACGACCCTTCCTGCGACCATGAACTTTTCCACGACACCTTGACGCTGGACGTAAACAAGTATAGACTTGGAGACACCCAGCGATATACCAGCAAATTTCTGTATAACATGTGCGCAGGGGATGCGCTTGTAACTATACTGGTCTATACTGTAGGCTCTACATATTGAACGGACACAAATACCCTTACCGTATACATGTTATCGACACATATTTCTTGAGAATCGGCGGGAAATCACGGAAGACCAACTGGCATATGCATGATGATATCAAAACACAAAATACTGAGTGGCCAAGAGAGGTGAACTTGGTGCTTTCAGTCAGCTAGAAAGGACTGCTATGTGAATAAAAGAATCGATCACCAATGCTCCAGCGCACACTATGATGAAGATGAGATATTATGCAACGCTTAATTGTACGCCTTCTATGCATCCGTCCGCTGCTTGGTATCTCACGACGCCCAACTTTTCGAAATATAACCTCCAGATCGCCTATGAATCGTACATGCCGAACACGCCACCGTATTATGCTCTTATCGCTTTGTCGGCCTTGATTGCTGCGCCGTCTCCCATTCATCGTACTCGTCTCTAGTGTCGTCGACCCACTTCTTGAGGTGCTCGAGTTGTCGGTCATAGTCTTTGAGTAGCTACAGTACATTGTTAGTGTATGCAAGGCGTCATGAAGCTGGCTTCTTACCTTCTCTAGTGCCTTTTGGTCTTCATCAGTAAGGAGTTCACCGTTTTGTTGCTGCTCGATCGTTTTGCCCAGCTTTTCGGTCTCCTCCTGAAGGATACGCGCCCGCTCGCGCACACCAGACATACGCGCCCAGATCTCTTCTTGTCGCCCGCCAAGTACGGGATCAAACGTCTGCTTCTCCAACTCGATGAGCTTCTTCTTCAGGTCCTCCTCTGGCTGATCCATGACGTATCCTCGGTTGCGCAGGATCTGGACCTTGGTTGCAAGGGCTAGTGTTCGTTGTGTGAAAACGATGTGCTTCCGCTTTGCTTCAGTGATACGCGAAGCTACAGTCAGCTCGTGCGCGTCTTTGAGAAGTGACAGACTGTTGTTAATCTCGTGCAGTCTGGTCCGGAGCGCGGTGACGGCAGCTGCTTGTTGCTTGATGCGTTCTCCAACCTGTTCAAAGCCGCGGGCAAGCACAGGGATGGCACCTGGGCTTGGCTTCTTTGACAAAGCCTCCTCCCATTTCCGTTCGTCTTCGCCTTGCGAGGGCCCGTAGAAGGGCGCTTCTTCGGGCTTGACCGAGTTATAGAAGTAGTATTGGAAGACGCATTCAGGGTTCTCGGGGTCCCACTTGTTGTTGAGAATCCGTATCTGCTCGATGACCGACTTCTCTCCTAATAGGTGTTAGCATAGCTTCAGCAAATGAGTTGAAAGGTTCATACTGTGACCGGTCATGTAGGCAGAGCCAGCAAAGGGTTGTGCAGAAGACTGGCGCAGCTGCGGAAGCCCTTCGCGCTGTTGCTGAACGCTTTGCGCCTGTACGTTGTTGAGAACAGGTGCTGGCTGCAACGAGGCGCCGAATAGGCTGTTGCCCATGTTTGGCTGTTGCTGTTGCCCCTGTTGTTGTTGTTGCTGCTGCTGCTGCTGCTGCTGCTGCTGGGGTTGGCCGAACAGACTGGAGCCCGCGTTTTGTTGTTGCTGTTGCTGCTGAGGCTGTCCAAAGAGACTCGAGCCTGCATTTTGCTGCTGTTGCTGTTGCTGCGGTTGGCCAAACAAGCTCGATCCGGAGTTCTGCTGCTGTGGTTGTGTTGATCCAAACAAGCTATTGTTGTTGTTGTTACTGTTGTTATTCTGGGGGGCGGTCGATGACCCGAAGAGGCCGCCAGACTGTGTCGCGTTTGACTGCTGTGGCTGTTGCTGCTGCGATTGACCAAACAGACCACCAGCTGGCGCTGTAGTGCTTCCAAAAAGAGTACCCGTCTTCTTCTCCCCACCAGCCGTGTTTCCAAAGCTGAACGACATGTTGTATAAAGCCTGGGGTATGCGCGTATCCTCTTAGGCAGATTTGATGGTGTTGTAAACGAGTGGTGCTGTCTGAAGTCGCGAATGGAAGAACTTCAGATGTTTGTTTTCGGTCGCGCGTGGGTGCGCGAAGAGGAAACCGCGGAGACGTTGGCGCAGGGATAATTCTCAAGCAAGCTCAGTCCGCGCGCATTCTGATTGCCGAGAGACCCCAAATCCGTGCAAGAGGTGTAGTGGAGGTGCAGGTTAAATGGTGGGAGCGTGTTGTCTCTCACTCACAAAGGACAGGCACAAGCTGCGGCCGATCGCATCCCTGCCAGTTTTAGTGAACCGCCAAGACCGAGTTCCGCGACGACCTCACGAGCATCATCTTCAATTCATAAGCAGATAGCCCGCCATTGGCACCTCACCCTCAAGATGTCGTCGCGCCAGCCCAGGTAAACTCTCTCTTCTCGTCCCATAGTTAGCTTCAAGCGCTTAATAATTTGCAGGTTCAACCAGCAAGCCCTCATCGACACCACCCCTCTACCCGACGACATCCCCAAGGTCAAAGAGCTCGGAGCCAGTTCTGCGCCCCTCCTAAGTGCCTCGTTCTTCATTGGCGCGCGATGCAAGGCCTACAACGATGATTACATGATGTGCAAGACCGAGGCCAACGGCCGGGGAGAGTTCGACTGTATGAAGGAGGGCCGTAAGGTCACCAGGTGTGCGGCTAGCGTGTACGTACCAGCAGAAGGCTCCCTTCTAGACCTTGGTTGTTGACACATATGGCAGTATCAAGGACATCAATGAGAACTGCCTGGCAGAGTTCCGCACCCACTGGCAATGCCTAGAGAACCACAACCAGCAACTCTGGAACTGCCGGTCAGAAGAGCGCAAGCTGAACAAGTGTGTGTTCGAAAAGCTGGTATGCTGGAATATTACTTTCGCTCACGTCCTTCACTAACACGGTTTCAGAAATTGGAGAAGACGATACCAGATGCGCCCAAGGGTGAGACCCCAGTCCACCTGCGCACACGCAACATCTTTGCGACTCATTAAGCTTTGTACATATTTGCCGCCGGAAAGGACACCAAGGATAAATGAACGACATCACCTGAAATGTGTGACTATGACAAAACACTGCATGACTGTTTGTATTGTGACAGCAGCCCATTCTTTCCTACTGTATTCCATTATGTCACTTGGCGCATCTTCCGACCATGCTACGAAGAAACGCGCCTTTCTCTTTCTGGGATCCATCATTCCAAGTCTAAATGTCTACATTCGTTCTATTGTATGTGTGGCTCACTAGATTTTATGCGAATACCTCGGGGTACTTTCTGGCGTAAGTGAATTCGAGTGGTTCACCATTTACCATCATCACAACGCTTCAATCCTCACTGTCACCTGCTATTGTTCGACGATCCAGCTATTATTTTTAGGTTCTCGTTATCTCCGTCATCATACCTTCAACATCCTTGTAGCACGTTTCTTGAGTATCTACTACTCTGGTTGTCGATCTGGTTCTATTACGCGTGTCATCGGATCAGTCATGTCCAACCCCTTCTGCGATAACTATGTAGACGACGCCTCTACTCCGCCCACCTCGCCAATCTCCGATGGCATATCTGAGCCTATCGATTGGAATAGCCGTAACTTGGTGTATCTTCTCAGCGTCTTGAGACCCGAAGAGGTTGCAGCCGATATACTCGTCTTCAATCCTCCACTTGAGGCTCTAGAGGACCTTACATACCCCTTCCATCTGCAGATCCACAAGAAGGCTGTTTCCACTCGCATCGACAGTCATCCCTATTTTAGGGACACTCACATCTGCACCAGGCGTTCTCAACCATGCACGTTGGTCGCTGAATCAAACCGCGAGTGCATGAGCCCAGAACTCGCTCGTCGCTCCCTCGCCCACGATCTGCTCTCCAATACCGAGCTTGTCGACGCTACCATCGCCAGACACAACGCACTTTGGGTCATTCATAACAGCGATGTGTCTACATTGGAGTCTATACTACGCGCCATGTGCGAGATGATCACTATTGCCGATGACGAGTGGCAGGGTCGCCTCGATCAGCTGTGCGGCATGGCCGCTGGAGACTACACTGGCCAATGTGTCGATGGAGACTGTTCCGCAGAGACACGTTTGGAGTACCATCTTTTGATGACAGGCAGGATTGCTTTGGAGGATTGGATTCGGTGTGTCGGTGCTTGCTTGGGCATGGACTCTGAGAAAGAAAGGGCAGCGCACGCAGAGATTTACGACGAGGCAGGCAGCTTCCTTGGTAGGGCATTCTATCAGATGGTAGGTTAGGTATGGGGGTTGTGGGAACTTTCGAGGTCATGTTTAGGATGGATGAAAGCGAGCGTAGGTGAGGATGAAGCCTCCAGACATACACACCGCCAACACGTCTTTACCATTCGAGCACTTTCAATACAGTTATCTACTGGGTATCTCTATCATACAATCATAATCATTACCACATCTAATCCTAAGCCCTCCTGCTGCTGCCTCCACCACCTCTCGCAGCACCCAAAAACCTATCTCTCAAGCTGCCCCTATTGGCCGCAGCATTCCCCGCCGGCGAACTCCGCAGAAAAGAGCTACCTTCAAGAAATGAACTACTCCCGTCCATACCAAAGCTACTCCTTCCATTTCCCAGATCGACCCCGAGACTGACCCTTCCAACCGCAGGATGTCCACCCCCGAACAACATACCACCAGGCAGCCCCGAGCTTCTGCGACTCGAATTACGACGTCCACTTGAACGGCGCCTTGTTGAGCGCCTCGAACGCACGGAGCTGAGTCCAGGTGGAAGAGCGCTGGTATCCAGATCGCTGTCATCTTCGAGTTCAGAATCCGTGTGTTCGTAGCTCCCAGCTTCAGGAACATCGTCATCGAGATCGCGTTCGTCTTGCAACACGCCTGCCATTTCCGCCTCTTCCATCTCCAGCATATGAGACACTTCTGCTTCGAGCATGCTGCCTTCTATGAAGCTATCCTCATTGAACGGTACAGTGCTTTCTTCTTGGACGTCGCCACTGACTTCACTTCCCTCCTCTTCCTCCTCTGATTCTTCGTCACTCGATACTTCAGATGCACTGGGTGTGCTTTGTGCCTCAGGAACTTCATCGTCAAGATCCCGTTCTACTTCTCCTTCTCCGGCATCTTCTTCCATTTCTCCTCTTTCCCTTTGCTCCTCGTTTGCAGCATCCTGCTGTGCGGCTGCTAGGTCCATCATTACTTGCTCTCTACGCTGCATCATCTCTTGCTCCTCCTTCTCTAGCCTTTCGTCGTCAATCGCTTGCAGTGTTTTGGTGACACCAGGCGGACGCAGCCAACCCGCGCCGAATCTGCGGACATTGAGTTTGCGCTGCGCGATTGTGTTTTCGTCGGCAGTCAGGCTGGATAGGAGATGGTTCTGGTGGCGACGTGGGCCGTGGTGCGAAGTTGGCCGCCGGCTGTTGTGGCCATGAGATGTGTCTGGTGGAGAGTGCGAGTGGGTGTCCTCAAAGGCGGCATGGGTGGTGTGGTGGGAAGGCCAGAGGCTGGCATCCTTGGAATATCGTCAACTCAATTCTAGTGTTGCTTAGATCTGAAGCTTTGGATGTTCGCATCTTCAGTTGAAGCAGTCAAGACATGTGTAAAAGTACTTACTGGGCGCGGCGCGATCATGGGTAACGAAAACATCTTGAAGCTTGGATATCCCTTAACAGCACGCTGCAGGACGGAAAGAAGAAATCGCCAAAGTACAATGGCGCGGGTTGTGCGCGTCGAGACGCGTCGTTTGGTGTTTCCTTCGTGCTTGCTGTAAGCTGATGGCCCCACCTCGGTTCGTCCTAATGCAGGAAGGTGCCCAAGTCGCCGCCAGCAGGGCTCCACGTACGCTCTCCATACTGCCTTCCACCCTATTCTATACATCTACCTTGTCCCGTAGACTATTCAGAGAGCTAGATCCTTTTGTCAGCTGTACCTCTATCATGGGCAACCACAATTCTACTCGATCAGCATCGCATCTTCCTTTCAGGACCGAAATTATGTCTTCAGGGTCTTGAGATTCATGCCATCTAGACTTTCGAAGTCATACCAATTTTCCAAGCCTTCATTTTAGAATGACCTAGCTGGAACCTAGACGTTATGGTCAGGAGGAAATTTTAGTTTTCAAATACCTTTTGGACAAAAGACGATGGCGGAGTGGCACATGTTTTCTGGCCTTGATTGCTATGAGCATCTACTTACGATTCCAGAAGGTCGTACGTACGTACTCCCGTGTAGACAAATGAATAGATACTGTGGTATTTTATATGCATGGGCTGCTTTTTCACCTGGTTACTTAAGAGATCCATGAATCTGCAAGGATATTATGTTGTCTGTTCTTGTTTACATCACATGCTCGCAGTATCCAATGCCTGGGTTGCTTAAAGACTGACTGTGTAAAAACGTACAACTATTTTCTGGATAGACCATGACGCTATCAGAGCAACATGAAAATCACAATGATCTTGGTGATTTCTGAAAGTCATGAATCACCCTTACGTTTCTAAATTAAGAAGTTGAGAACTGGAAGCCATGTAAGTTAGAACTGGTAATACCACTCCTAAAGACATTACAGTATTTTTAAGAATTTGAGATCCAGACACGATCAAGCCAACTTTCCTATTTCTCGCTTTTTGCTCTGTTCAACAAGAAAGAGAGAGAGAGACAAGACAGACGCTGGACTCCATATTGGTCGATTCAAGATCCATATGCAAACATCGATGGACTCGGTCGAAAACTCACCATGACAGACTCAATCACCAAGACCGTAACACATTCATGAAAGCCGCATAGACTTGAAGAATTCGTTGTATCGGCCCGAACAGGGACAGCGGGTACCATACCCGGTATCAAGAAGATTCAAGGAATACATGAAACCTACTGTGTACGACGTTGATCCACAAGAGAGCCCCAGAACCTCCGGAAGCCATTATAAGCGCGCTGAAAGATTTGACCTATTAATCATGTTTCGTCCGTGGGGGTGGATTCATGATCAAGCGTCGGGCTTGTTGTCGGCCGCAAAAAGCGATAGTAAGCGCTTCGTAGCAATGAATACTACTACAACGAGGAAATCCCTTGCGAATGCAGTTTACAAATTGGGCAGCAATATGTCGAAAACGGCTGTCATATCATCGTTCAATCGGCCCTGCATGGAGTCATGTTCAGCCTCCGCGGACACTAATCGTGATGTGTACATGTACCTGTACATCCTTCCAGATCGAAGGAGAACGGCGCATCTCCACCTTACTATTCCCGCTGTTACATTCGAACGTCGTCAGCCTTTGCTGCGCTTGGAATTAATCGTCCTTCGTCTACGGCACCACTTCGGGTGCATCCATGGATCTCTTCCACTTTTGCTCCGGCTTGTCGGTCACCTCCGCCTCCGACATCGCGAATCGCGGATCCAACGATTCGCAAGGACGTGACACGCGCCGGTACGAGGCTGGTAGTGGGCAGGTACAGACGCGATGTAGACGTAGCCTATCTTAAAAAAGCATCTCATCACCATAATCTCCGCGTCCGTCAAAAAGACTATTTTGATATGGCATGGCTAACGATGCGACATCTGTGCGATCCGTCTGCCGTGCTGGGGGATCCCCCATTGAGCAGTCCCGGAGGCGCGCCCGCCGCACGAGAACGGTTGCTTGGCTGCTAAAGCTTAATGCTTACTTTGGCGCTAGCATCGCGCATTTTAGCCGCTTCGCCGCCCACGGACGGGTCGAGATTCTAGGCGTGCAGCCCATGGCTTGAGAGGATGCGGCATGAGCAAGCGAAAGCAAACAGGCTGAGATGTGTGGCAGTGACGATCGAGAAGCCGCGTCGGAACGAAACACGGTGAAGAGATTTCGGATAGCGGGTAGCGGGTAGCGGGAATAATGCCTAACTGCGGTTCAGGCATGCAATCGAGGAAGGGAATGTTGATCCTTCGTGCAGCATTTCACAGAGAAGGCGTTCTCTAAGCTGCAATAACAGAACGTATCCCAAAGCATAGCTATGGTAAGAAAAATGGGTTGCTCTAGTTGCATCTTGCTACGACTAAGGAGAGGCTGGCAATACCGTAACCCACAAGGCGTCCGTATGGATTGGTTGCTGCTAAGAACATATTGCCGTAGTGCAAAAGGCACGACACAGGAAAGAGTTGGAAGTGGAGACCAGCCTATTCATGTGCTATGTCGAGAGGTCCTGTCCTTGGAAAACGAAGCTCCGCTTACAACCTGGACGCGCACTGCACCAACACGCGCGCTAGCAGTGTCCAGCGCCGAGAACTTTGCTACGGAAACGTAAGAGGCGCCATTTTAGGGTTGCAATATCACCTGAGTGGCTGGCTGCGCGTCCGCGATAACGGTATCATGGGAATGCTGCAGATTGTCAGCAACAGCGACAGGGTGCAGTTCGTTCGCGTGTGGGAAGAGAGGGGTAAGGATCCTATGTACTGAGGACTTCCCATGGGGCTGCTTTATACCAGAGCCACTTATCTGCCCGTTTCCAGGACCGTTGAGTTCGTGTCGTGCCGCTGAGCCCACAATCACACCACCTGGATACTCAATGTAGAAAAGGCGTCCATCTTAATGCAGAATGGTAGGCTACTATGGACCTGGTCCGTGACGTTGTGGGCAGGGGAAGGCGACGAAATTGGGTACGCAGATATTGCCAAAGCCTTGGACATGCATTGTGTTGCACCTGAGGGGTTTTGTGTGGCTCGAAAGGTGGTGTTCTGGCAAGCAGGCTCATTCGTGCGTTTGGTAAGCGAAACGATTGCGAATACAATGCATACATAACGGTTTCTCTTCGTTGGAGCATTAATGTCCGGCTGGTTGAGTTTAGCTTCAACTCATCGCAGTGTTGGACAGATGGTATCTTGACCAGTGGCTCTGCAGTCTCACCATGTCACGCATGACGTATCGAAATCTTGGGAGGGTTTTTCTCCTAGTATGTATATTGAGGCTCGTGCTTTCTCAAGTGTAGCCATAATGTGCTGTAGAAGTATTCGAGGCGTTTTACGTATTTCAAGCATAACATTGGTTCTAGAGAATATCTTCACAGTCAAATCAGTCTCGCTATTGAGTGTCATACCTTAGATAATACGAACGTCTTCATATATAACAAAGATCTCATCGTACATGTATGTGTCCTACATATGAGGGGCATATGTGGTACATTGGTGTAGCTTGTCAATCGTGGCGAGACTGTCTTGCGTCGAGTTGTTCACCGATGTCGTTGAACAATTCCACGCCCCACAACATGTACGAATGGCCACAGTCTTCGAGTTTGGTAAGCCTGACGACAACTATCTTGTCCAAAGCTATCTTACACTTGGATATACCCAGGCTCAGTAAAATCAGAGTGTCGGATGCAAGAAAGTTCTAAAACCTGAAGCCTTCCTATATGAAGACCCTCGGTATGTACAACGAATTACGGATAGCCTTCCAGAGCATCAGCGGGCCGTCGCCACTGATACTACCGATTCCTTCCGGACAGGTGCAAGCCGCTGCTGCTGTGCTACACCTGACCCTCTTAGAGTTGTTTAGAGATGTCAAGCGGCTGATGTTGTGGCACGGTAGTAGCACACTTGTGGCATAGTTGACTGTACGTGTAATGCATGCGGGTGTATACGGAATATCTTACACTCTGGGAACGTGGTAGTTGCATGTCCCTACCCAATGCCGGTGGGGTCTGCATACTAATTGTGTTACTGCAAAACGTACCATGGTCGACTTGATATGTAAAGTATGGTACGGGAACGCTATCTTATCAAACAACTATCTACCCGCAGGCCGCGACAGCAGACGTTGGTTGGGACTATGCTAGGCACGGTGTGCTTGATAGGGTGTGGGGGTTTCTCTAATGTCCATACCGCAGGATCGCCCGCAGGGGAAGATTATTCCTATATGTGGTCTGGTGCCAGTTGTCCTGGTAGTATAATACCTTTTGCTATAGCACGGCGCAACACAGGGACTCTGTACGTGCAGAATTTTAGAAAAAGTTTGCATGTCAACCACATCTGAAGCAGAGGTCAATCCTCTCGACTTACAGGAAGCACCGGATGTGAGACCGTGCTTGTATTCGAAGCACCGTAGAACAAAAGTTGATAGTTGTCAGCTTGGGCGACTGTTAGGAAGATCTGCTTCTGCTCCTAGGTTGACTTGGCGCGTGTGTCGGACCTCTGCCAGCGAGTACCATGCCGACAGAGAGCCAATGACCAAATATCCGCAAAGCCACGCGGAAGCCCGCCCGAGCAAAAAGCATCATTAAGTAGCAAAGATTCGTGTCAGTCTACCAGACTGTAGGTGAGTTTGCGACGTAGCAGCCTGCGCGTTTCGTAATATCGTACTCTTTTTTGGGCATGTTACAGACACATTCGGGGTTAAATCCGTATTGCTTAAGCATCAATTTGTGTCATGGAGTGGGATATGGCAGCTCGAGTAGTTGCATTCCGAGAAACCCAGCGGTGTGCGTCCATCGCCACTGGAAGCGGGGGCTAAGGACTAAAATCCTGGGGTTTAACAGGGCGGATGACGGCAGCCTAGCAACAGCTCAGATATGGATACGTGTTGCGGCAGACTGCGTCCGAAAACCAGAACGAAATTTGTGTCTGAACGCAGAGTTTACAAGTCGACAGGCATGGACAGAAGCTGCAGCTGGACGTGCGCGACGAGGAACCCTGGAGAGCCTGAGTGGTCGATCAGCCCTGGAAACTCTCTGTCAGGTAGGCGGTCGATGGCACCATTCGAGGCGTCTGGAAAGACGCCCAGGTGGCAGAAAGACTTGGCTCGGTCTGTCGGATGAGACTCCGCGAGAAGCCAAGTCCCAGACTGGCGTGGATCTGAGGCGTGCATGGTGGACAGGCCTCGACGCAATGGTGCAGTATGATTCGCATGGTCTGGCTGCAAGGCGTCGGACACGATGCAATGTTTTGATTGAGCACAAACGGCGCAGTTACACGGCAAGCCGACTCCAGCCGCCTGTCAGAAGGCAGCGCACCCAGACGAGTAAGGCGGTATCAGCGTGTTGCAGGGTGATGAAGAATCTGCAGCTAACGGGTCGTGCACTCGACGGCGCAGAGGTTCAGGTACATCTCCCGTGGTGGACCGCATGAGTTTCGCAATGGTAGAATAGACAATTCACTACCCTTGGATAGTGGAGTTTGAAAAATTGAGGCATAATGGGTAGCGCCGAGTCCAGTGCTCTGGGGCGTCGGACAGCTGTGGATCAGCCTGGGTAGCCGGGCGGGCGACGACGCTGCCACTTGCAGACAGTCATGGAATCGATGTACCTCTACAAAGGCGCCCGCTCCGTTTCTTGGTGGTGTCGTTCGCATGGGCAGGGATCATTCGACGTTGGTTAGTAGTAGCCTTAGACTGCGGCGAACCTCAGTGGGGTGTTGCTAAGAGAAATACCGCCCTCTATTCACTCGTCCCCATAACCCACCTTCTCCCTCCTCCGCACCCCGCTCGCCTGCCTCACTACTCCCCTCACCACCTTCCATCTCACCCACCCCCATTCGCCCTCTGCAGCAGTCTTGGTCTCATCGTCCTCCGCTGCCCCTGACGCGTCTCCCCGCCCGCCGACACCTCCGGTGCGCAACTTGGCTCGCGCGCTGTCTCATTGGACAATAGCCGGTCGTGCTCATCACTTACGCAGCGCTGACCTGCACCCTTGGTTTTGCGAGCAGACCCCTCATCAGCAGTGGCCACGACCGATTACACGCCCACACTATTCCCATTGCTAGCTTTATAGTCCCAGACTGTCGCTTCCTTTGACCCACGGGTTATCTCTGTCCTCGCATCTCCTGCACACTGCCCACTCTCGTTTAACATCTTGATCGACCGCGGGACCCTCTTCCGGCCCACAATTCCTTACCCAGACGTCTGTCTGCCCACCATGGACACGATGCAGAACTACAACACCTTTGTCAATCCCCAGGACCTCGAGAACCATGGCGACTTCCCAGACTCGTTCTGGCAGATGCGCATTGACCCAAACACCTTCTCGCCCTCGTACGATGCTGTTGGCATGCTACATGGCACAAGCGAGCGCTCCAGCAGGAAACAGGACTCGGCACTTGACCTAACCTCTTTCTCAACCCAAGGCTACCCATGCATCAAGGCCGAGGACGAGTTCAGCAGTTTTGTAAACACTGCCCAGTCTACACCCACATCCAACACACCCTCACCACACGACAACTTCATCTTTAGCAACGCAAACTCCCCAGGCGAGTACAACCGGGACCAGAGCCAGACCAGTTCCCCCGAGACTTGCAATGATTCCCTTACCAACGACAGCTGGCCTGCGATCCACATCCCGCAGGCCGTCGAGCAAGCCAAAGTCTTCATTGCGCTCGACAAGAACAAGAACCGGGCCGAAACTCAAATCAAGACTACCGTGACAATGGACCCGCTCGCTCCGCACTTCCAGTGGATTCGCTTTCCTCGCCAAAACCTTGCCAAACCAAAGCAGATGGCCAGCACTGAAGAGGTTGAAGCTAATGAGAAGAACAACTGCACTGCCCGTTTGCAGCTTACTCTCGTTCTGGCGACTGCCGTGGAAAAGCCCGAAGGACTGGACCGTGCCTTCCGTCGTGCTCGAGGCGAGGAAGCGACTCCAAGGCGCCCACGTGGCGTGGCCATCACAGACATCGCCAAAGATGACCGGTGTCACCCCCAAAATGGTGGTGCAGTCATCATCTGTGAGGGTTGCAAAGAGCGCGAAGCCAAGAGGTTTAACCGCAAAAAGAAGCGCGAGGCAGATGATGAAAAAGAGTGGTCCAACTACGAGGACGACCGCATCATCATGATTAACGAGAAGGAGTTCAAGAGGTGGCAGGACAACGAAAATCCTGATTACTCTTTGAATGCCAAAAAGGTTGAGTTCGTCATGCGCATAACATGCTACTGCAGGCATCAAGAAGACAAATCACCCGTTGGTTACAGGGTCATATTCACCTTCAAGGACGCCAACGAAAACGTTCTCGCACAGGAGATCTCCGAGATTGTACAAATCACAGACGACCACAAGAACAAGGAAAGTCCCTCAGAAGCCCTGAGCTCCTTGACCATTCCCACTGGGCCACATGACTCGATGCCGCTTCAGTACACTGTTCCCATGTCCGAATACTCCCCGACTGTCTGCAGCAGTCAGTACTCATTACCCACGACGCCTATTGTCCCACAAGCTCCTGGACTGCCGCACTCGCAGAGCATGTTTTTCCCACGCGAGGCACAGTACCCCCGGATGATGAATCCCACTCCTGCGACTCAGGCTTCCAACCAGGCTGGTATGGGCTTCTATGGTGCTGCAATGCCTGCACCTGCGCCTACACAACAATATGCCACTCACCAGCGCGGTCAAAGCTACTTTTCACCAACAATGCTCAGTCCCACAGGAGACCAGATGTCGGCTCAGGCTGGTTACGCCCTTCACCGCCCTCATTCTTTGGATAGCTTCCCGCAAGCGTACAACTTTCAATTCTCAACACAACAGTCGTACCCACAGATGTACTCGTCACAGCCGCCATCACGTGCCACCTCTCGGCCAGCATCGCCAACATGGGACCAAGGAAGGGGCGCGAAGAAGATGCGCGCTCAGCCTGGGTTTATGTTGTATGAGGACTTTGAGGAATGAGATCTTGACGATACGAAAGCACGAATTATGAATACAAATACGGCGCCATGTACAGCGGGCATTTGAGTGGCGTTTTTGGAGTTCTTCACTTTGATGTTTGATGATGATCTGGGTGGATGGTTTTCTGACATGAAACAATTCTAGCTTCGGCCACTTTGGTTTCTGGGAAAAGCGTTTGTTCCACATGAAATCTCATCTGTACTTTTCTTCGCTGTCAGATGTCGTTCTTATGGGCGGATCCGCCATAGACTTTGTTCGGTTACTATAACTTTAATTACTAGACCAGATCCTGTATCAATTCTCCTTACTACTAGTTCCCTCACGGGGACTGGTAGATTCAATGAGTCATTTTACTATCAGCGTACAAATCGTGCAGGCCTCAGTGTGTGATCTTTAGCAGGACAGGGCTTAGAAGGCGCTATGGGTTGCACCACCCTAGACCATGATATTTGTCCTGGCTTGGCTAATTCCAGCTCACAACACATCTGCAGGATATTCATCAATGCCACCCCATTGCATGAACAATGCATACCTAGTACATTTTCGGTGAGACGTGTGATTACGAAGAACAGCGAAAATTGATTGAGAATCTTAATTCGCAGCATTCGCAGTGCTCGCTTGGTTGCAAGAGCCGGAGTTTGCATATTGACTTCACCTCATCCGATGCAACAGCACTACGAACATTATGGAATCGAACGGGACCAATGGATACAGACAGGCAGAATACGACAACATGAAGACCGAAAACAAAATTACTGAGAAAGATTACTCCTTCACACCCTTATCGCCAACAAGCAACAGTAGTCAACTCCCACAGCAAAGGCCTATCGCGCGCTCGCATCACCTTCCCTCAATTCGCCCGGCTCGCTACAACAAAGCGTGTTCGATGCCGGAATGCTGGTATACAGCGGCCGAGCTACGGAAGTTAATATGTGGTAGATTGGATGGTGTGGGATGCGCACCACATACATCGATAAGAAGCAGCTGGCAAGCTAAGTAGCATGTGTCCTCAGGGTTCACAACGCGAACGTCGCAGGTACCCGAGCATGACCGTATATTGAGCTCCTTTGATTTTTGGCCATCAATATGAACAAGGCATAGCATGACCTGAGCCTACCCCTTTCTATTCGACACTCGGACGGATGGATGTCTAAACAACCTTTCTTCGGGACGGGGGCGTTTATGCAAGTCAGGATCATGGCGCTCTCATAATGAATAGTGCAGAATCTCATCGAAAGGCAGATCATTATCTCATTGTTGTACCAAAAAACTATATGTTGTGTCACCAACACGCATTCATTCAATTCATCCGAATCCTTCCCAGAATAGCCGACCAAGTCAAAAACTGAAAACAAAAGTAAGAACCCCAAACACCATTTCGAACCCCCAAGATACAGAAATAAGGAGAGATATTAAAAATAGAAAGGCTTCGCAGCACATGCTGGGGGCGAATGGGAGCCAAATAGTCCAGACAGAGTTGAGGTGAGCTTTCGAAACACCAGGACCGGACTGTATCAATAGCAAATGTTATTGCCCTCGGCTCTTGACGGAATTTTGAGCACCGGGATGCACGATCGGAAGAGCTGCAACGGCCCGAAGCCGCGCTTGCTTGCGTATAAGCTGGGTCTGCTATATCCGAGTATGCATGGCACGCCTCTGCGCCCACTGGGCGCCGCAAGCAGGCCGAAAGACAGGCCTACACACCCCCTCGTGTTCTTCTGCGGGCTTCTGCGGTGCTCCCGCAACTTGGTGGCGCGATCCCGTAGCACACTGTAGGCTAAAAGCCCGCAGCACTAGCTTTCCTGTATTCTTGGAAGTTGCTGGTGCCACTGGCAATCGTTGGATCTTCTTGGCTTCGTAGCTCTTCCTCGAATCGTTCTTCTTCTTGCGCGTGGGCAGCTTCGAATGCGGCAGATTGGCCGCGGTGGAAGTACAGAGGTGCGCGTTTGAGGAGGGCTACGTCTTGTGTTACGAGAATGTGCTTGACGCTTGAGCCTGATTTGGTCAGTCTTCTGAATTTATCCTCGCGGTGAAATGATAACATACCGGGTGTTTCATATTTGGCTTGCAAGAGGAGCTGGTCGACGACGTGTCGTAGTCCACGGGCACCTGTGCCCATCCGACTCGCTTTCCGTGCGATTTCACGAAGCGCGCCGTTGGTGAAGCGCAGCTCGATGTTCCTGAGATACGACTTGTGCTCTTCCTGTCGTATTAGACTGTCTTTGGGCTCGGTAAGAACGCGAACAAGAGCTTCCTCGTCCAAGGCCGCCACTGCGCAGACTGTGGGTATCCGACCTATGAGCTCAGGTATCATGCCAAACTTCTGCAGGTCCGCTGGCTGCACATGGTCAAGTACGTTGATCCTCTCCTCTCGCTGAATCTGCCTGACGCCGAAGGGATTAGGTACGTCGTTCTTCGGAGGTACGAAGAATGGCGAGTCTTTTTTGAAGGATTCAGCCTCGGGGCCAGTGAGCATGACACCATCGGCGGCGGCATGTGCATTCGATGTCCGTATCGACGCCCCAAAGCCCATACTACCCTTTGACTTCCTGTCCAGGACGATCTTGTGCAAATTGGAGAAGGCGCCAGTGCATATAAAGAGGATGTTGTCAGTTCGTATGTTGAAAACCTCGCCTTTGTTTCCACCAGGCCCAGGAGGTTGAGGACCACCAGGCATACCGCCGGGCTTGTTTGCGCTCTTCTCTGGCTTTGCTTGCACTTGGACGGTTGTGCCCTCGATGATTTTCAGGAGCGCCTGCTGGACACCTTCACCACCGACATCCTTGCCGTATGACATCTTGGATCCTGCGATCTTGTCGATTTCATCGAGAACGATTATGCCATGCTCAGTTGCGTCGATATCATAGTTGGCGGCCGAGAACAAGCGGGCTACGCAAGACTCGACATCGTCGCCAATATACCCAGCCTGTGTGAAGGTAGTGCAGTCGGACATGGAGATGGGCAGGCCCAGCGTCTTTGCCAGTGTCTTGCACATCAGTGTCTTGCCTACACCAGTCGGACCAAGTATAAGCACATTGGACTTTTCTATCTGCAGCTGGCGCTCGCTAGTATCGAGCAAGGAATCGGAGTCGGGGGCAGTGGACGAGGCTGGTTTGTAGGCAGGTGCTTCGCTGTAGGGTAGAGGGTCACTGTGACTATGCAGTTCTACGGTGGACTGCTGACCGGGGAACTCGTCTGCTCTGCTACTCAGCCATGGCAAGGTCTGGGGATGAGAGCTGAAATCATGGATGCTTGGATCAAAATGAGATTTGGGGCTACCTTCTACAGGATGTCTGTATACAGATGCTCTCCTCTGCGCCTGCGCCTCGAGTCTAGCCTGCTCATGATGTTGCCTTTTGATTTCCTGGATTCGGAGATGGTGCTCGTGGACGGCTACGCTCAATACTATCTTTGCGCGGTCCTGATCCACGACGAACTGGTCCAGATGTTGTCTCAGGACCTTGGGCGTGATGAGACCAGCGCCTACATTGCTGGTGTTGCCCAATGGGCCTCGCGTGGGCTGATCGGGCTCATAGAAGGAAGAGAAGCCCTGGCCGCTGAAGTCGGAACGGTTGAATCTGGAGGATTTGCGCGTGTGCGACTGGGACAAGGGTGCACGGTGCGAGATGCTATAGAGGGCGAGGTAGGACGCGCGGGCCTGGGGCGAGACGGCAACGGGGAGCGCGCGCTGGAGGGTCCGTGGCAACATCATGGTGGAAGAGGAGAGCGCAGAGGAATTCACACTACAGAAGTTACGCGGGCATCGAGGGCATCACGAGGGCTTTAATGGACTCACGATGGCGCCGGCTGTGCTCGAGGCTTGGAAGCAACCGTGGTTGAGCCGCCGCGAGCTCCCCACGTTAGAAGATGCGGGGAGGTCCCCACGGTTCCCGATGATGCCGATAAGGGCCTCCTTGCCGCCGACCGCGCGCGCGCGCGTTGGTGCTACGACTACCCAAAGGTAGTCTACAAAACCATGTGATGCCCCGTCAGGGTCTTCGCGCATCGCATTCACAGCTCGGATGCAGATCCGACGAATTGTAGCGCAAATCCTCCCGACACGCACCCCCGTCGCAGCGTAGATACCGCTGTTGGGACAAGTGGCGTGGGCGCGATGCCCGTTACAGCGTGCTCGGAGCTATGACGTTGATTGTTGGGTTGGCAACGAACTTTTGGTTGAGCGCTGCGCTCAGCAATCGGGTTAGGGACCCCGCAAATTCGAGATCATCTCTGCAATTAATCTGGCAGGCTGTCTCTGTGAAACCTGCATCTACTCGCTACCATCTCCTCTGGTAGCAATCTTCACAGCTCCTTCCTCCCACCATCCTTCACCATGGAGCTCAACAAGGCTTCAGCAAACTCGACCCTGAGCGACACACCTGGGCAGGTCCCAAACGATGGAACTGGTACACACCGCTACTCTGTTGCTGCTGCCAATTGACTGACCCAATTGCTTCCAGGCATCATCCAGATGGACGGCTACCTTGAGCCTTTCAAGGACGCGCTGAAGAGCCGCTTCTCCAAAGCACAGAAGTGGATTCAGACCATTGAAGAGACTGAGGGCGGCCTTGACAAGTTCTCGCGGGCAAGCTCCATGCATGCCTCCACGAGCGCCGTGTAGCTAACCGTGCGCAGGGTTACGAGAAGTTCGGCTTCAACGTCCAGTCCAATGGCGACGTCGTGTACCGTGAATGGGCCCCGAATGCCCTGCGCGCCTACCTCATTGGTGACTTTAATGACTGGAACCGCGATGCGACCCCCATGACCAAGAACGACTTCGGTGTCTTCGAGGTTACCGTGCCTGGCCAGAATGGTCAGCCCACCATCCCCCACGACTCCAAGATCAAGGTATCCTTCGTCGTACCCAACGACCATGCGCGCCAGGAGCGCCTGCCAGCCTGGATCACCCGGGTGACCCAAGACCTCAATGTCTCCCCCGTATACGACGCCCGCTTCTGGAACCCTCCCCAGAAGTACGTCTGGAAGAACCAGCGACCGCCCAAGCCCCAGAGCGCGCGTATCTACGAAGCCCACGTTGGCATTTCCTCCCCAGAGCCCAAGGTAGCGACTTACAAGGAGTTCACACGTGATATCCTCCCTCGCATCAAGCATCTAGGATACAACACTATACAACTCATGGCCGTCATGGAGCATGCATACTACGCGAGTTTTGGTTACCAGATCAACAGCTTCTTTGCTGCAAGCAGCCGTTATGGCTTCCCAGACGATCTGAAGGAGCTCATTGATACTGCGCATGGAATGGGCATCACAGTCTTGCTGGACATGGTACACAGTCACGCATCTAAGAACGTGCTTGACGGTCTCAACATGTTTGACGGCAGCGACCATCTCTACTTCCACGAGGGTGCCAAGGGACGACACGAGCTGTGGGACAGCAGGCTGTTCAACTACGGTCATCACGAAGTCCTGCGCTTCTTGCTCAGCAACTTGCGCTTCTGGATGGAGGAGTACCACTTCGATGGTTTCCGATTCGACGGAGTCACCAGCATGTTGTACACCCACCACGGCATTGGAACGTGAGTAACGAACTTAGACTTTGACTTTCAAACACTAATTGAATCAGGGGTTTTTCAGGCGGCTATCACGAATACTTCGGTCCTTCAGTCGACGAAGAGGCAGTTGTGTACCTTATGATCGCCAACGAGCTTCTGCACACGCTCTACCCTGACTCCATCACAATCGCCGAAGACGTGTCCGGTATGCCTGGTCTCTGCGTGGCACTCTCATTAGGCGGAATAGGATTCGATTACAGATTAGCCATGGCTGTACCCGATCTTTACATCAAGTGGTTGAAGGAGAAGCAGGACATTGACTGGGACATGGGCGCGCTTGTCTTCACCTTGACAAACCGAAGGCACGGCGAAAAGACCATTGCGTACGCAGAGAGTCACGACCAAGCGTTGGTCGGAGATAAGACTCTGCTCTTCTGGCTTTGCGACGCGCAAATGTACACCAACATGTCGATTCTTTCAGAGCTCACCCCCGTCATCAACCGAGGTTTGTCCCTACATAAGCTGATCCGTCTGATCACGCACGGCCTGGGAGGTGAGGGCTACCTGAACTTCGAAGGCAACGAATTTGGCCACCCCGAGTGGCTCGATTTCCCACGCGAAGGCAACAACAACAGCTTCCACTACGCTCGCCGCCAGTTCAACCTTCCAGACGACGAGCTTCTCCGCTACAGGTTCCTCAATGAATTTGACAGCAAGATGCAGTGGACAGAGGAGAAGTACGGATGGCTCCACTCGCCTCAGGCCTACGTCAGCCTTAAGCACGAGGGCGATAAGGTCATTGTGTTTGAGCGTGCTGGACTGCTGTGGATCTTTAACTTCCATCCTCAGGAGAGCTTCACTGACTACCGTGTTGGTGTTGAGCAGGAAGGTACCTACCGCATCGTTTTGAGCACCGACAACAAGGCCTTTGGTGGGCACGGCAACGTTGACGAGACTACGAGGTTCTTCACCACGCCATTTGCGTGGAACGAGAGGAAGAACTTCTTGCAGGTGTACATTCCTAGCAGGACTGCTATCGTAAGTCGACTACTATCTGAATCTACATTGATTGCTTGCTAACCCAAGGACAGGTACTCGCGCTTGAGAGTACTCTATAAGCGACCCTGAAAGATGCGTACGAGGCAAGATGCTGAAGATTAAATTGAAGGGTTGACCCGCTCAGTGGAGTGGTCGTGTCGTATGGTGTGAAAAACGACATGTGTGTCGATAAGATAATAGAAGACATTTGCGCATTAGTTTTAAGCCTTTCATTCTTGAATACTGGTTGGTGTACCTCTGATTTGTCCATACCGTCGATACGGGTAGCCTCGTACGCGTAGCTCGCTTCTCCGAGCCCCGAACTCCGTTATGTCCGACCTTTTGTCCTCGCGTCATCATCGCGGAACACTTTCCGAAGCTTCCATACAATTTCCCTGTCGCCCCGTCTGGCGTTGTAACATAGCAACCATGTCTTTCACTCGAATTCCTCGGGCTGCTATACCGCACGCCTTCCGCTCCTTCTCTACAACCCGTGCGGGATTCCAATCTACAATACCCTATATCCCATCATGCCCGTCACCAACCTGTGAATGCGCAACAGCGCCTCCTGATCTAGACATTGATCGCAAAACGCCATTGCTGAATACCATGGCGGCATACTCTGAACAGGTCATCTTCTGTACAGGAAAAGAAGACTGGGTTAGCAACATCGAACAGGAAGAGGGTGAAACTGGGGAGTTTGTGAGAGGGCTCAAAGGTGTAATTGGAAAGGGCGGTCCTGGGTTTGATGTAGGTCTGTTTCCCGATGAGTTCATCTTCTGCTACGTCGAAAACTGACACGCTCTCGCCCCATAGCCTTTTACCAATGTCCTCATCACTGCTTCTTCGCTACCGAAGAGTGAAAAGACCGGCGCAACAACGGCTTTACTGTTTCCGAGTTTCAAACGTATACCGAATATCCCTCACACGCCCGAAGCCTTCTCGAATTTCGCGACCGCGTATCTGAAAGCTCGAAAACTACATTCTATGCACGATGGTCTCTCTGCTGAGCAAAAGGCCAACCTCCTTCGCGACGAGTCGAAAGCAATCGAACTACCAGAGGCGGAAAACATTACGAAACCCACAGTATTGATCTGCGGACACGGCGGCCGCGATCAGCGATGCGGCATTCTTGGGCCTTTGTTGCAATCCTCGTTCCGGTCCGAGTTCAAGCGTAGGCGCATAGATGCGGATGTAGGCCTGATAAGTCACATTGGAGGGCACAAATACGCGGGAAACGTCATCATTTATCTGCCTCCCAGTATTGAAGACAACGCGCTGAAGGGATCGGGCATCTGGTATGGTAGAATTGGACCTGAGAATGTTGAGGGTGTGGTTGAAGAGACGGTAGTCAAAGGACGTGTCATCACTGAGTTGTTGAGAGGGGGTGTCATTCAAGGCGGTGGCAATATTGGGAGGATGATCGAGACACAACTGAAAAAAGATAGCGGAGAAGAGGACAATGGGACCCTGAGACTAAAGGCTAGGGCGAGAGGCTAAGTGGAGATTTGAATGTGCTCACTCGATTTGTATCTTGGGAGGTGCACATGATGGGATAGCTGATGACTTTTGATGAGCATACTACAGCGACATCGCTGGATAGAAGTAATCTAAAAAGTTACATTCTTAAACTAATGCAAGAGACTCAAGGCTGTGGATGTCAAGGTGTTTACGGTTTCAAAAGATGTATCGATGTTGACTTGAACAAAAAGAGGGATAGGGTGAATAACAGGCTCATGGTCCTCAAAAACCTTAGTATCTGACCAAACATAAGCTGCGACCAAACCCGTCTAAGTTTGACCATGAAAATGCTGGGGCCTATTACGAAACTTCTGGGATTGGGCTGTGATTGAGAGGCAGTTCGCACGTCGGCCATTACATGGCGATCTGAGTGTTGCTTACTTCGCACCCTCAATCATCCTGGACCAATGATTGAGCTGTGTGCACACATAACATTGGCCTCTACTTGAGTATCTGGCACTGTAGACGTATAAGAATAGTCGTTATTTTGCTTGCTAGAAACAATGCCATATCCTTGTTTCCTCGATCCCAATCATACAACTAACACATAGGCTAAAGCTGAAAGAACATACGCCCAAAATGCACCCGAAGAATTAGCCCCCATATACTCCCCACTTATTACACTCTTACCAAACAATCAACCCCTAGAATCGTGTCTCCAGCCATGCATCGCTGACAAGCGCCCACCCATACCTGCAAGTCCACCAACCCCGCCCTCTCCACCACCGAATCCGCTAGGGCTGCCGAAGCTACCACCTCGTCCATGACCACTGCCACCGTTGAGCAGCTTGTCAAATTGCTCAATACTTACAATAGCACGTTGTTTGACATCAGTATCGACGTCACGTCCCAGCTGCTTGGCACCTTCCTCGAAACCTAGTTGGCGGAGACTGATAGCCCGTTCGCGCGTCGCAGCTTCGTCGGTGTGGTCTTCTACCCAAACAAGATTATGCAACATCCACGAGCAAGCTACGCGAACATCGCGACGAGGATGCGCGAAAAGAGGAAGAACATGTTGCATGAGTGTGGTCTGTGAAATAAGGAGGGAGCGGTGTTGAGGTCGGCCATTGGCGAGGTGTACGAGTATATATACGGCAGCAAGAATGAGTTCGGTGGCAGGATATGTAGCCCAGTTCGATTGCCCTGGGTTGTTCGTGGAAGAAGAAAAGGGTGTACGGTGGCTGTTGCTTGGCCAGTAACTGGGAGCACTAGGACTGGTTTGACTCTGGGACGATGATGTGGACAAGGAAGAGTGTTTCGGCCGGATCTTAGCATCGAGAATTTCAAAGAACCTGCTGTGGCCAAACGTCTTGAGGAGGTGATCAATCATTTCACCAGAGGCTTTGTCTTCGGAGACGAAGTTCCGAATGAAGTCGAGCGCTTGCTCTTGTATGCGTATGTCATCGCGCTCACTGTTCAGCCGATGATCCTGTTCATCATTCTTAATTTGCTGTAATCGATCTCGGATGTTCGTTGCACTCGTGTATCGAGATCCAGGACGTTGATGTCGTCGCATAGACGGTATGCTCTCAGTCATGGCATCGTCATCATCATTTTCCGATGATGGCTCGTCATCCACATCCATGTGAGGCTCGTCGACAGCGTTGAGAATATCGACCTGTTCCCCAGCTGCATTGGGTGTTCCCATAGCAGGCTTGGATGGCTCCCCGTTGAGTACCTGCACGAGCCAGCCTACACCGAGCTCTTCGAGACACTGTATCTTCATAGCATGTGGCAGACCCAGACACAAGTGCTTAAGTGCCCAAAGGCTGCCGAAACGAAGGTCAAAGTTTGCTGATCGACATTGCTCGCACAGAGTTCCCAATACTCCAGATTCAAGAATCTCCTAATATTCACATTAGCTTGAGAATACAAAACGATCAACATTCTACCTACAGTTCGCATGGGAGACACATCCAGTACCAAATTTGTTATGACCTCGGTAGCAGCAATTTGCACTTTGACGTTCGGATGCGTCAAGAGCTCGAAAATTGGCTGTGCAACACCGTGATCGATCAAGCTGGTTCTGAGTACACTGACAGACCTTGAAAGCGACCGTGTAACTTTGCAAGCAGCAATTAGTACCGCATCAGGGTTGCCATCCTTTGCTGAAGAGGATGCCCCTTGCTCATTGGTTTCTCGGTACGGGACCAGAGCTTCGATGATGTGCGTTGCAGCGCCCATCTCAATGACCATCTTCCTTAAAGAATCTTGATCTCCTGCTATTGCCGCCAAGGCCAGGAGAACGCTCTCTCGATATCTGAAAGCATGCAACAAATCCGCACTTAGTCCGGATCTACCTAGTGTCGATGACGCAGGGTCAATACTTGGATCTCTAACTTCGTTAGATGATGACCGTGGTTGCCATAAGGGCTTCGAAGACGTAGCAGGCACATCGAACGACTTCTTGAGAATCTGGATGAGCGTCGGTAGGGTCCGGGTATGGACAGCCGCTGTCTGAAGAGACTTGTTCCCAGCAACAAGCTCAGCAAGCACAACTGGTGAGCGTTCCAACACAAAGCGCAACTCGTCTTTTGCCGCAGGACTAAGTGTACTCGCCTTTTTGGTCTGCTCCGATGTCGGACTTGAGTCTTCAATCATCTTTTCCACCAACGGGATAATCAGATACGAGAAGTGCCTTTCCCTTGTGGTCTTCGAAGGGTCGTTCAAAGGCCATCGCTCGCCAAATTTCTTCAACAACGCTAGTAACCAACAAGCAGAAAGACGCTCTCGTCCTTCGCCTCGACGGGCCACGTACATGAGCCATATGAACAACGGCGACTCAGATTCGTCAGTGATGACACTTCTACTTGAAGTCTGCTGTAACGACTCCATACTTGGCAGGCGAGAATAACTATCCCCAGCGGCAGAGGCGTAGGCACCAAGAGCTGGCCATTGTTTGATGTACGGATCTGATTTGCTCGCCATTGTCTGTACCCGCGGAATTAATCTGTCCCAGGATGCCGCCTGTGATGTATTACTTGCGTCTAACGCTGAGGCGCGTTCCTTCGGCCATCCGAAGAGTTGTTGTATTGAGTGTGAGTAGAGAAACCGAGCAGTGTAAAAGTGTGAGTCCTTGATGACAGCCGAGATTGCCTCCAGAATATCTGGCAGACAGGCACGGGGAAGCCGCTCGCGATTCGACTGCTTCCACTCTGTTGCGGGGATCCGATCGTCAATGGCAGCGACAGTAGCAAGCTTGTCAGCCAAAAGATCCAGTATTCCTAAATCCACTAGCATCTTCTTCTGGTTGTCTTCTATGCACGTCTTCATGATGACCCGGATCGTCGCCTCAATCTGCTGATTGGCCTTCATCGTCCCAGCTGGTTGCGCCAATATCTCGGCGAGGCTGTCAATGACAGACCTGGTGTATATCGACTCGTTAACGGCAGAAGCGAGAGATGACCGGGAGGATGAGTCGGACGTGTCGAGCCAAGGTTTCTCCTGGTTGACGGCGTCAATGATCTGATTGAGGGTCTTGAGGGTCGTGGTAACGAGTTTCGAGGGCGTCTCGCTGGGCCTCAGCGCTTCGAGCAGTGGAGGGAGGACATGACCTGCTAGAAGTGGGGCGACAAATGCCGGACCGCCTGTGTGTCTCATGTATCAGCCAATATGCTCCTTCAAAGCGTCCTTTACACTGGGCACTCACCATTCGCAAGGCTGCCGACGACGAGCGTGGCCTGAAATCTCAACTCATCCTCGGTAGTCCATTCTTCCATGTCCTTCCTCGAATCGTTGAAGAGCCCGGAGCTGTGTCCATTCGTGACATTCCTCCTCCTCTCCCCCCCCTTCCTAGCTTCTGCCCGTAGCAGACCCGCCAGTGGTTTCACAACGCCATGTGTCACTGCTAGTTCTTTCCTCTGCTCATGCCCTACTATCTCGTTTTTGAGGTTCTGGAGTGCTGTGACCTGTGCCTCGGGTGTACTAGGGTTCGAGAGCTCGTTGAGCGCCGGAGGTATCATTGACCGGCCCATGGCGTAGACGGAAAGTAAGCGGGTAATTGGTAATGGGTGTGTACTACAACCGGTTGGCGCAGATCAACGGTCGTCGTGCAGCCTCATGCGAAGAGGTCCAGTACTGGGCGCACAAGCGTGTGGCAATGACGGGCGGCGCAATGGAAGCTTCACTGGGAAACAGCGGATTGGGGAGTTGCGAGTATCGTCGGAGCAAGGCGCAACAGGAGATTATGCTACTGCCGATGCAGCATATAGGCTGCGACAATCAGGTAATTGTCAGGTGGTATGCCAAGTCTGCAAAGCCAGTCATGCTCAACAGAGTGGTCGCGAGCGAAGAAGTGCAGATAGCCGCGCTCAATTCCGTTGGCGCAACGTCAGAGCAGCCGCGATAAGGGTTATCGCCACGTGATTGCTCATTCACCAGCTTCCCGAGGTCACTCATGCGGACTTGCCCTGCATCTCCTTTAAAAAGCGTAAATGCGTGCAATTCATCAGACGTGATACATAACCATAAACTAGCGCCCCATGAGTACCGTTACAGTCGTCAAGCACGTCCTGGAGCCTCCTTCCTGTGCCACCATCCCAAGCCAAGACAAAAGAAAATCGTGTCCATCAATACAAAAGGATGCTAAAGCAGACCCAGAAAGATGCAAATGCATATAACCAATGTCCGATTCCTACTCTTTACGCATACCCGTAAACCTCAGTGTCATTCTCCTTCACCACACCCCCTTCCGTAAGTATGACGACAGCCACACATGCCGCATATGCCTCACGAATAGCGCAAGACATACACGTCTCCTTGATGTTTGCCACGATAGCACTATGCCCATGATGCGCACACCACGCTCTTGCAAAAACTTCGTTATCGCTCACGCCTAGAGCCTCTATAACGAGCACATTGGTAACTTGTTCGTGAGCACTCTTCTGCTTTTCGTTCATGAGCGCCAAGGCTTTCTTGCCAGGTGATGATTTAGAGGATGTGGGGCGGGGTATGCGACCGGACTGATTGCCCCAGTCTTG